CCATTCGTTCTCGTGTTAATGCTCTAGTTGAAGGTCCTCCTTCTGAGGAATGTCTTATCAGACTTGCGAAAGAAGCTCTTCATCGATCCCCTGCTGCTGTTCACGTTGTTGATCTCCTTGATATGCGAGACTTCAGGAATCTTACTAAGTGGTCACAATATGAGGAACTGATTCGTTCTTTCCTCGTACCAGTAAAAACAGCTGATCCATATGTCGTTCTTAGGGAACTAGTGAATGCTACACCCATGACTAATGAATCGTTGAGTGCATTTGCTGTTAGATTACACAAACTTTTATCATCATTTATCAATGCTGTCCAGTCCTCAGCTTTTGTCCCTGACGAGGATAAACCATCCACAGCATCCTTTGCTAAAATAGCAGCTTTTGGAGCAATCAAAGAACTAATGCCGCTTGCTTCTGTGTGTGCTTATGAGGCTAATCCCCCAACTGTGACGATGGAACCCCTTACAGCCCTAAATCATGTACATTCCTTGTGCCCCCAGGGTACTTTCCCATGTATCAAAAGTAATTTCACACCTATGCCTCAGTCTGCACCACCTCTTGTTTGCGCCACAGCGACAAATCGTGGTCGTCAACCATCTCAGCGATCACCAAGGACCAGTGTACAGAGTCATTATAAACCTCGTAGTATTCATGGTATATTCAGTAACCATAGCCAGTGGACTTGTTACAACTGTGGTTTCCGTGGCCATATTGCAATTAATTGTCCTGATAGTTACCCTAAGAGGCGTTGTACTGATGATGAGTACCAGTCAGATCTTCCCTACTGTACTTATCATAGAATACATGGACATGACACATCTGAGTGCAATGCTCTCTACAACCTTCAGTACTCTAGGTCTTTCCGTGGCCGTTCCAACCGCAGAACTCGTAGAGGAAACAGACATCGTGGTTCTCAAAATAACCAGAACCAGGCTCATTCTTCCAATTCGGGGGAATTCGAGTGCCCCAGTCAAACTGTCCCATGGTGACAGTAGGTGATAATGAGTACACCATCCCCGTTCACAATTCCTTTGAAGCCTTAAGCAGTCTCGAGAATGACAATCCTGCTGATGATGTTGCTTCACATGTCTCTGATGTAGATGATTTTGGGGATGAAGTGGAACAAATCTTTGCTGATGACAATCCACCTTTTTGTTTGCACATAACTTCCAATGCAACCATAGGCCCTATAGTGCAAGCATCTGTTCATAATGCGCCCGTTCATTTGTTCATAGACTCTGGTGCGCAAGTCAATATTATCAGGTCTAGTTTGTCTAGGGATAAGCAGTTACGACATGTCCTTCTCATAGAACCGACTCATGTGTCCTCCCTTAGTGGAGTAGCTGGTTCTCACCTGCGTGTCCGAGGTCGGACTTCCCTCACTTTTTCTATCCAAGGTAGAGACTTCACTGCTTCCTTCCTTGTTGTCGACCAGATTACTTTCCCTGGTGACCTTCTACTGGGATTTGCTTCCATGCGAGACTTATGCATTGTGCTCGACCCTTATCGATGGCATGCCCAAATTGATGACTTGATCATACCATTTTGGGGTTACCAGCTTGGATCCGAGATCTGCCATACTGCCGCAGAGTACGACATTCGAATTAAGTCCTTACAGGCCAGTGCATTTTCCAGTAGCGTACCCAAGCGGTCAGGCACTGATGATCCTGTCACTCCTGTCTGTGTTCCTGCAACTTCAGACTTGCAAGATAGTGTCCAGTTACCTCAAGTGTCCGAGGACGCTCTGACTACCTTGAGTGCTGAGCCTATCCCTGCAATGTCTGCTAGTTCAAGTAGTAGTTTCTCCACAGGGGACGCCTTGTCGGAAAACAATTACTTGCAACTAGTAATGCAATCTCTTGTTGATGTCACATGCCATCTGCAGAAAGATGTTTCTGTCGCAGCTAGTGCCCTCACTAGAGTGTCTGTTGTTGTTCCTAGTGTTCCAGATGGTGATAACGTCCTAGTTGACAGTGATTCTTGCAAAGTAAAAGGTCTATTTGTTGAACCATTCTTACATGTTGTAAGAGATAGTAAGATCCATTTCTTCCTAGCTAACACTTCTGGTCACAGTGTTCGTCTTAGAGCAAATACCAATCTTGTTGACCTTGTTCACTATCCTTACCCTGTTCAGGTAGAGGATGAGTTGTCACCTGACCAGTGGGTCAGTGCTATTTCTACTGGGGAGACCTCATCCACTTCACTGGATCAATCTGTTCCACCAGTTGAGGAGAAAGACATAGCTCCCACTGACTTCCCAGATGAAGTCAAGCGTTTGTTGACTCTGTTGAACAAACGTCGTAAAGACATTGCCTTACCAGGTGAGAAGATGGGTATAACGAACTTATTGTCCCATCGTATTCCACTTGAACCTGGTACTAGACCTATCTATATACCTGCGTACAGAATGCCTCATTCACAAGTTGCTGTCGCAGAAGAATTGATCAATCAAATGCTTGATGATGGAGTTATTGCACCTAGCAATTCACCTTGGAATGCACCCTTGATCCTAGTACCTAAGAAGGATGGTACTTGGTGCCCAGTGATTGACTCTAGGAAGTTAAATGCGAAAACTATCCCAGATCGCTTCCCACTTCCTGTACTGGGTGATCTTTTACGTAACATCGGAGATAACAGTCTTTTCAACCCTGGACTTGTTACAAGGGTTTTGGCAAGTCCCTCTTCACGAGGACAGCCAAGAGCTAACTGCATTCTCCACTCCTACAGGTCAATCAATCCCAACAGTGAAACTTGGGATGAAGTTATACCTGATGTGCAGTGTGCTATAAATTCTGCTTACAATGTTTCTATAGGTGACACTCCACATTATGCATTGTATGGTGTAGATAAACGTTTGCCTTATGAGTTGCTATATTCTAATCCGAAACCAAATTACAACCCTGATGATTTCATAGCAACTCGTACCAGCTTAGCTCAAAGTGTTTTTAGAAGAATCCGTGAAACACTTCATAAATCAACAGCAGAATTTACAAGAGTCGCAAACACTCGAGCAAAGCCATCCAAAATCAAAGTAGGTTCGAGAGTTATGCTGACTAACTTTAACAAAACGTCTGCAATGCCTAAGCTTCATCAAAAGTTTGTTGGTCCTTATCGAGTAGTTGAACATATCACTGGTAATAAGTATAAAGTTAGAGTAATTAGTACTGGTCAGTATAAAGAATCTCATTTAGATCATATGAAGTTAGTATGTGATGATAATGATGTTCCAACCCAGACTAATGTGACAGACTCTGACAATCCTCCTGATCTTGTACTCTCTACCTCTGATACTCAATCAGACGATCAACCTGAATGTCGTTATTCCCTACGTACACGACAGGTATTGAGAAATCCTCAAGTATCATTTGTAACTACCAATTCAGATTTGCCTCAAATACAGCATGAGTTAGCCAGTGCTACAGAGTTTGATCCTCCCAGAGATGACACCCATTCTGCATATGTCAATCTCACCCTAGCAGAGTTGGGGTTAAATGTAAATAACCTGTATAGATGAATCATTACAGTATCAACTTATCAGTATTCAAGAATTTTTTTTTTTTTGTGTTCACGTTCTCTCCGAATTCTGAGAGTTAACAGTCTAGATTTGAGTGCACCGAATCTGCCTTTCTGTTAAACACTTCTTTCTTTGTATATATTCCTTCCTCAGAATCCGTAGATCACATGAATACAGATCGATCGATCAAATTTTTTTTATCACTTCTATTGTGTAATCTCAATGTTGAGTTTCATTCGATGAGTTGTGCTATATTATACTTTGTATTGCATTACAGTTTCAGTTACGTAAGCTTCCATTCCAATATTCTACTTATGTATGTTATAATGTTCAATTGTTGTGTACTTTGACATTGTATAGAATCAGCCCAAGCCGTACACCTGTCGCCTCTAGTTTGTATTACTTGTATGTCGGGATGACATACGTTTGCGTCGCCGAGCTCTCAGTAGTAGTACCAGTTCCTAGTAACCAGTTACCAGTAACCAGTGTACCAGTAGATGACTCACTACCAACCATCTCTGCGTGAATCACTGACTGTATTCATATTGCTGCTGACCATAGCAGGATTTCAAACACCCTCACCCGTAGGCACTATGAGTCAGTCAAGATAGGGAGCAGAGAGAGGCAGGTCGGCTGTTGGCGCTTTCCATACTTCCCATTATATATTATACGTACTACCAGCCTACGTGAGTATTCTTACCCTATCCACGTATCGAAAAACCCACATGACAATGTGTGCCTGATCCTCTAGCTTTTGCAGTAACCTCTTGTGAGGAACTGTGTCGAAGGCCTTCTTGCAGTCCAAAAAAATGCAATGTGTGTGTGTGTGTGTGTGTACTCACCTATTTGTGGTTGCAGGGGTCGAGTCTTAGCTCCTGGCCCCGCCTCTTCACTGGTTGCTACTGGGTCCTCTCTCTCCCTGCTCCATGAGCTTTATCATACCTCGTCTTAAAACTATGTATGGTTCCCGCCTCCACTACGTCACTTTCTAGGTTATTCCACTGCCTGACAACTCTTTGACTGTGTGTGTGTGTGTCGTGTAAAGAGAGACAGGTTCAGTATTGCATCATGGGGGGGGGAGGATTTGAGGGGTTCAAATACTTAATATAATAACAGGCAAAATAGTAACACAGCTTCAAAACAAGTCTCAGACCATCTCCCAGCCAGTTAGCTTGCCCCATGCAATACCTCCCCCCCCTATCCAAAAATTCTGGTACCACCCTTGTATCTGGCCTCACCGGTGTATGGCACTCCTGGCGTCACTCCAGGTATGGCACTTCAGTTAAAATGTCCTAAGAATATGAACCTATTGGAATACTCACAAAGCAGCGCTAAATTCGTATGGGTCAAGCAGCGCCTTGAGAATGGGAAGAAATAATATTTGACTCAATGAAGGTGAGGGTAGTTAGCTCTAATTCCTTTAATCAAGAGCTCATCGTTTAAAGAAGTCAGGTCAACGATAGTTACAGGGGTGGACACGTACCTTGGAAGAAGAGGTGGGTATCTTTGGTGCGTGTCCAGACGTGTGCGTAGCCATCTAGGTTGTTGGGAAGGCCCTGCCACTCAGGCTGGATGTATAGAGGGTCACCAAACCTCGTTCGGTTGTATCTGAAGCAGCACCAGTACCACCATCACGGAAGAGACGAGGCAGCAACAGCACCATCACGGAAGAGACGAGGCAGCACCAGCAACAGCACCACCACAGAAGACGAGGCAGCACCAGCAACAGCACCACCACAGAAGAGACGAGGCAGCACCAGCAACAGCACCACCACAGAAGACGAGGCAGCACCAGCAACAGCACCACCACAGAAGAGACGAGGCAGCACCAGCAACAGCACCACCACAGAAGAGAAGAGGCAGCACCAGCAACAAGCAGCACCTCCATGGTGGAGGTGAGGTAGTAGTACCGGCAACAAACCCACAATGGGGAGGGTGAGGCAGCAGCAGCAGCAGCACCATGGATGAGGTAAGGCAGAAGGCGCAGCAGCAGGGAGAGGAAAAAACAATATGAAATATAGTGTAATGTGATTATGTAAGCAGAGTTGTCAAAGATCAGAGGAGGAGGAGGAGGAGGAGGAGGAGGAGGAACAGGAGGAGGAACAGGAGGAGGAGGAGGAGGAGCGAAGTGAGGTAATCTATCTTGTCCTTAATTACTATCACGTTTGCTTTGTGTTTAGTAAGGTGAAGTCCAGGATGTTTCCTTAATTCATGGTATAACTTAACAAATCTTTGGTGACAATTGTGTTGCAGAGGTGTGAACGAAGCTCAGAAAATACAGTTTTGCCTCTGAATTACATCGCCCAGTTCCAATAGAGGGGAAATTCTGCTTATTTACATTGATTTATATTGCTGTAGCATTTTATAGGTATATTTGTTTACAAGTAAAATGTCACACTTTCCGAGATAGATTCTATCAACTTAAAAATGGAATTGGTTAAGAAATAAACATCTACAATGATAGAGAAACATAAATAAATAAAAATAAACATAATATACCCTCAACTGGGACTGGTCACTAAGCTTAACATTTGTTAAAAATTCATTCTGTATTTTCCTGCATATAAGACGCATTTTATTCCCCCCTCAAAAAGTCTCGGAAAATCGCCCTGCGCATTATATGCTTAAGGTCAGGGTCACGGGTAGGATTTGGGTTACGAAACCAGTTGTTTACGAATGTTATATTACAACTGCTTGCAAACATCGTGCCAGCAATCAGCCGACACTCGTGCGCCTTATATGCCGGAAAATACGGTAAATAACTCGCTTTAGTGGCGGATCCAGGAACAGAGACTCGACCCCATCAAACACGACTCAGAGAGTTCACCGTATTCCCTCCATCAACAACGACTCACTTGTTCTCATACATCCAGAAGTGGTCCTTCCTGAAGAAGTAGGTGTTGTAGGTGAGGGAGCCGTCGGGGTGCCACCTAAGGAAGTCAAAGAGTGTGTTGAAAGCACCGATGCATGCACCATACACTCTCTGTACCAGCTTGCGGTCCTCCCAGCCCAACTCCAGACCTTGGTTAGGCAGGACCTTCTCGTACACTGGGTACATAATGGAGTAGTTCCTCACCACGTGCTCCAGACCCAGCACGTGGCCGATCTCGTGCACGGCTACCTGAGAGCAGTGAGAGAGGGATGACAGAAAAGTGAGGGAGGAAAGAAGAGAAAGAGATATGAAGTTGCTATACCAGTAAAAGTTATGTCATCTCCGCATAAAATGGTTACACCATCTTCGTATATAAGGGTAAAATTATTTTTGCATATAAGGGTGACATCATGTGCACATATAATGACATTAATCATGATGATTATAAAGTAAGTGTCGGGAAAGGCCTTAACTAACTTGCTGGTTTAATATCTTTATTATGCACCCAATACCCATCCTGAAGGCGGTAGTCGAAAGATTACAGAGACACATAATGGGTCCAGGGACTAGTTCCCAAAGTTTGATAGATAAACAAGATAGTAAGATAAATTATTAACATATTTATAATAGTTACAATCGTAATGAGTTATTTATGCAAACAAGAATTAGGTCACAAAAAATATTACAGTGAACCGACCAATTACTTAATATGTCAATCCAATATCCATGCTAAACTTACTGGTAATTTATAACTTAACTAACTTACAATTTAGGTTTAAGGTGTAAACATGACAACACAGCTGCCCCTCAAACAGACTTACTGTAGTTAGAAGAAAGGCTGAGGAGCTTCCCCTACCTAAATCCCCTCCCCTCACCTAAAACCCCCTTCCCCTCACCTAAATCCCCCCTCAACTCACCTAAAAACCCCGTCCTACTTGTAATGGTTCTAGTCCTACCTTCTGAGCGCCTAGAGAAGAAACACTATTTTACCATAGTAACAGCAGCAGTAACTAATAGCAGTACTAGCATTAGCAATAGTGGTTCCAGGAGCCAGGGTAACAGTACTAGTATTAACAATAGTGGTTGCAGGAGCCAGGGTAACAGTACTAGTATTAACAATAATGGTTGCAGGAGCCAGGGTAACAGTACTAGTATTAACAATAGTGGTTGCAGAAGCCAGGGTAACAGTACTAGTATTAACAATAGTGGTTACAGGAGCCAGGGTAACAATACTAGTATTAACAATAGTGGTTGCAGGAGCCAGGGTAACAGTACTAGTATTAACAATAATGGTTGCAGGAGCCAGGGTAACAGTACTAGTATTAACAAAAGGGGTTGCAGGAGCTAGGGTAGCAGTACTAGTATTAACAATAGTGGTTACAGGAGCCAGGGTAACAGTACTAGTATTAACAATAGTGGTTGCAGGAGCCAGGGTAACAGTATTAGTATTAACAATAGTGGTTACAGGAGCCAGGGTAACAGTACTAGTATTAACAATAGTGGTTACAGGAGCCAGGGTAACAGTACTAGTATTAACAATAATGGTTGCAGGAGCCAGGGTAGCAGTACTAGTATTTACAATAGTAGTTGCAGGAGCCAGGGTAACAGCACTAGTATTAACAATAGTGGTTGCTGGAGCCAGGGTAGCAGTACTAGTATTTACAATAGTAGTTGCAGGAGCCAGGGTAACAGTACTAGTATTAACAATAGTAGTTGCTGGAGCCAGGGTAACAGTACTAGTATTAACAATAGTAGTTGCAGGAGCCAGGGTAACACTACTAGTATTAACAATAGTAGTTGCAGGTACCAGGGTAACAGTACTAGTATTAACAATAGTAGTTGCTGGAGCCAGGGTAACAGTACTAGTATTAACAATAGTAGTTGCAGGAGCCAGGGTAACAGTACTAGTATTAACAATAGTAGTTGCTGGAGCCAGGGTAACAGTACTAGTATTAACAATAGTAGTTGCAGGAGCCAGGGTAGCAGTACTAGTATTAACAATAGTAGTTGCAGGAGCCAGGGTAGGAGTACTAGTATTAACAATAGTAGTTGAAGGAGCCAGGGTAACAGTACTAGTGTTAACAATAGTGGTTGCTGGAGCCAGGGTAGCAGTACTAGTATTTACAATAGTGGTTGCAGGAGCCAGGGTAGCAGTACTAGTATTTACAATAGTAGTTGCAGGAGCCAGGGTAGCAGTACTAGTATTAACAATAGTAGCTGCAGGAGCCAGGGTAGCAATACTAGTATTAACAATACTAGTTGCAGGAGCCAGGGTAACAGTACTAGTATTAACAATAGTAGTTGCAGAAGCCAGGGTAACAATACTAGTATTAACAATAGTAGTTGCAGGAGCCAGGGTAACAGTACTAGTATTAACAATAGTAGTTGCAGGAGCCAGGGTAACACTACTAGTATTAACAATAGTAGTTGCAGGAGCCAGGGTAACACTACTAGTATTAACAATAGTAGTTGCAGGAGCCAGGGTAACAGTACTAGTATTAACAATAGTAGTTGCAGGAGCCAGTCTAGCAATACTAGTATTAACAATAGTAGTTGCAGGAGCCAGGGTAACAGTACTAGTATTAACAATAGTAGTTGCAGGAGCCAGGGTAACAGTACTAGTATTAACAATAGTAGTTGCAGGAGCCAGGGTAGCAGTACTAGTATTAACAATAGTGGCTGCAGGAGCCAGGGTAGCAGTACTAGTATTAACAATAGTAGTTGCAGGAGCCAGGGTAACAGTACTAGTATTAACAATAGTAGTTGCAGGAGTCTGGGTAGCAGTACTAGTATTAACAATAGTAGTTGCAGGAGTCAGGGTAGCAGTACTAGTATTAACAATAGTAGTTGCAGGAGTCAGGGTAGCAGTACTAGTATTAACAATAGTAGTTGCAGGAGCCAGGGTAACAGTACTAGTATTAACAATAGTAGTTGCAGGAGCCAGGGTAACAGTACTAGTATTAACAATAGTGGTTGCAGGAGCCAGGGTAGCAGTACTAGTATTAACAATAGTAGTTGCAGGAGTCAGGGTAGCAGTACTAGTATTAACAATAGTAGTTGCAGGAGCCAGGGTAACAGTACTAGTATTAACAATAGTAGTTGCAGGCGCCAGGGTAACAGTACTAGTATTAACAATAGTGGTTGCAGGAGCCAGGGTAGCAGTACTAGTATTAACAATAGTAGTTGCTGGAGCCAGGGTAACAGTACTAGTATTAACAATAGTAGTTGCAGGAGCCAGGGTAACAGTACTAGTATTAACAATAGTAGTTGCAGGAGCCAGGGTAACAGTACTAGTATTAACAATAGTGGTTGCAGGAGCCAGGGTAGCAGTACTAGTATTAACAATAGTAGTTGCAGGAACCAGGGTAACAGTACTAGTATTAAGAATAGTAGTTCCAGGAGCCAGGGTAACAGTACTAGTATTAACAATAGTAGTTGCAGGAGCCAGGGTAGCAGTACTTATATTAACAATAGTGGTTGCAGGAGCCAGGGTAACAGTACTAGTATTAACAATAGTAGTTGCAGGAGCCAGGGTAACAGTATTAGTATTAACAATAGTAGTTGCAGGAGCCAGGGTAACAGTACTAGTATTAAGAATAGTAGTTGCAGGAGCCAGGGTAGCAGTACTAGTATTAACAATAGTAGTTGCAGGAGCCAGGGTAACAGTACTAGTATTAACAATAGTAGTTGCAGGTACCAGGGTAACAGTATTAGTATTAACAATAGTAGTTGCAGGAGCCAGGGTAACAGTACTAGTATTAACAATAGTAGTTGCAGGAGCCAGGGTAGCAGTACTAGTATTAACAATAGTGGTTGCAGGAGCCAGGGTAACAGTACTAGTATTAACAATAGTAGTTGCAGGAGCCAGGGTAGCAGTACTAGTATTAACAATAGTGGTTGCAGGAGCCAGGGTAGCAGTACTAGTATTAACAATAGTGGTTGCAGGAGTCAGGGTAGCAGTACTAGTATTAACAATAGTAGTTGCAGGAGTCAGGGTAGCAGTACTAGTATTAACAATAGTAGTTGCAGGAGCCAGGGTAGCAGTACTAGTATTAACAATAGTAGTTGCAGGAGTCAGGGTAGCAGTACTAGTATTAACAATAGTAGTTGCAGGAGCCAGGGTAGCAGTACTAGTATTAACAATAGTAGTTGCAGGAGCCAGGGTAACAGTACTAGTATTAACAATAGTAGTTGCAGGAGCCAGGGTAGCAGTACTAGTATTAACAATAGTAGTTGCAGGAGCCAGGGTAACAGTACTAGTATTAACAATAGTGGTTGCAGGAGCCAGGGTAGCAGTACTAGTATTAACAATAGTAGTTGCAGGAGCCAGGGTAACAGTACTAGTATTAACAATAGTAGTTGCAGGAGCCAGGGTAACAGTACTAGTATTAACAATAGTAGTTGCAGGAGCCAGGGTAACAGTACTAGTATTAACAATAGTAGTTGCAGGAGCCAGGGTAACAGTACTAGTATTAACAATAGTAGTTGCAGGAGCCAGGGTAACAGTACTAGTATTAACAATAGTAGTTGCAGGAGCCAGGGTAACAGTACTAGTATTAACAATAGTAGTTGCAGCAGCCAGGGTAACAGTACTAGTATTAACAATAGTGGTTGCAGGAGCCAGGGTAGCAGTACTAGTATTAACAATAGTAGTTGCAGGAGCCAGGGTAACAGTACTAGTATTAACAATAGTAGTTGCAGGAGCCAGGGTAACAGTACTAGTATTAACAATAGTAGTTGCAGGAGCCAGGGTAACAGTACTAGTATTAACAATAGTAGTTGCAGGAGCCAGGGTAACAGTACAAGTATTAACAATAGTAGTTGCAGGAGCCAGGGTAACAGTACTAGTATTAACAATAGTAGTTGCAGGAGCCAGGGTAACAGTACTAGTATTAACAATAGTAGTTGCAGGAGCCAGGGTAACAGTACTAGTATTAACAATAGTAGTTGCAGGAGTCAGGGTAGCAGTACTAGTATTAACAATAGTAGTTGCAGGAGCCAGGGTAACAGTACTAGTATTAACAATAGTAGTTGCAGGAGCCAGGGTAACAGTACTAGTATTAACAATAGTGGTTGCAGGAGCCAGGGTAGCAGTACTAGTATTAACAATAGTAGTTGCAGGAGTCAGGGTAGCAGTACTAGTATTAACAATAGTAGTTGCAGGAGCCAGGGTAACAGTACTAGTATTAACAATAGTAGTTGCAGGCGCCAGGGTAACAGTACTAGTATTAACAATAGTGGTTGCAGGAGCCAGGGTAGCAGTACTAGTATTAACAATAGTAGTTGCTGGAGCAGGGTAACAGTACTAGTATTAACAATAGTAGTTGCAGGAGCCAGGGTAACAGTACTAGTATTAACAATAGTAGTTGCAGGAGCCAGGGTAACAGTACTAGTATTAACAATAGTGGTTGCAGGAGCCAGGGTAGCAGTACTAGTATTAACAATAGTAGTTGCAGGAACCAGGGTAACAGTACTAGTATTAAGAATAGTAGTTCCAGGAGCCAGGGTAACAGTACTAGTATTAACAATAGTAGTTGCAGGAGCCAGGGTAGCAGTACTTATATTAACAATAGTGGTTGCAGGAGCCAGGGTAACAGTACTAGTATTAACAATAGTAGTTGCAGGAGCCAGGTAACAGTATTAGTATTAACAATAGTAGTTGCAGGAGCCAGGGTAACAGTACTAGTATTAAGAATAGTAGTTGCAGGAGCCAGGGTAGCAGTACTAGTATTAACAATAGTAGTTGCAGGAGCCAGGGTAACAGTACTAGTATTAACAATAGTAGTTGCAGGTACCAGGGTAACAGTATTAGTATTAACAATAGTAGTTGCAGGAGCCAGGGTAACAGTACTAGTATTAACAATAGTAGTTGCAGGAGCCAGGGTAGCAGTACTAGTATTAACAATAGTGGTTGCAGGAGCCAGGGTAACAGTATAGTATTAACAATAGTAGTTGCAGGAGCCAGGGTAGCAGTACTAGTATTAACAATAGTGGTTGCAGGAGCCAGGGTAGCAGTACTAGTATTAACAATAGTGGTTGCAGGAGTCAGGGTAGCAGTACTGTATTAACAATAGTAGTTGCAGGAGTCAGGGTAGCAGTACTAGTATTAACAATAGTAGTTGCAGGAGCCAGGGTAGCAGTACTAGTATTAACAATAGTAGTTGCAGGAGTCAGGGTAGCAGTACTAGTATTAACAATAGTAGTTGCAGGAGCCAGGGTAGCAGTACTAGTATTAACAATAGTAGTTGCAGGAGCCAGGGTAACAGTACTAGTATTAACAATAGTAGTTGCAGGAGCCAGGGTAGCAGTACTAGTATTAACAATAGTAGTTGCAGGAGCCAGGGTAACAGTACTAGTATTAACAATAGTGGTTGCAGGAGCCAGGGTAGCAGTACTAGTATTAACAATAGTAGTTGCAGGAGCCAGGGTAACAGTACTAGTATTAACAATAGTAGTTGCAGGAGCCAGGGTAACAGTACTAGTATTAACAATAGTAGTTGCAGGAGCCAGGGTAACAGTACTAGTATTAACAATAGTAGTTGCAGGAGCCAGGGTAACAGTACTAGTATTAACAATAGTAGTTGCAGGAGCCAGGGTAACAGTACTAGTATTAACAATAGTAGTTGCAGGAGCCAGGGTAACAGTACTAGTATTAACAATAGTAGTTGCAGCAGCCAGGGTAACAGTACTAGTATTAACAATAGTGGTTGCAGGAGCCAGGGTAGCAGTACTAGTATTAACAATAGTAGTTGCAGGAGCCAGGGTAACAGTACTAGTATTAACAATAGTAGTTGCAGGAGCCAGGGTAACAGTACTAGTATTAACAATAGTAGTTGCAGGAGCCAGGGTAACAGTACTAGTATTAACAATAGTAGTTGCAGGAGCCAGGGTAACAGTACAAGTATTAACAATAGTATTGCAGGAGCCAGGGTAACAGTACTAGTATTAACAATAGTAGTTGCAGGAGCCAGGGTAACAGTACTAGTATTAACAATAGTAGTTGCAGGAGCCAGGGTAACAGTACTAGTATTAACAATCGTAGTTGCAGGAGCCAGGGTAACAGTACTAGTATTAACAATAGTAGTTGTAGGAGCCAGGGTAACAGTACTAGTATTAACAATAGTAGTTGCAGGAGATAGGGAAATAAATGAACTGGCTAACTTAGAGGTAGCTGCATGAGTGTTAATTCAAACAAAGTGATTATGTAACAGTTGTGTTCAGTTATTTCGTGTCCTTGACACCACCACCAACACTGTATCTCCATGTACCATCTCTGTCCTACTTCAACTTATACAAAAATATTCCTCCAAGTTTTCCTTTCCATTTTCCAAATACATATACAAATATATACGTATGTTGCTAGGAATAATTATTGTACTTATGTGTGCCTGTACCTAAATAAACTTACACACACACACACACACACACCTAATTGTGGTTGCAAGGATCGAGACTCAGCTCCAGGTCCCGACACACACACACACACACACACACACACACACACACGCGGGGCCAGGAGCTGAGTCTCGACCCCTGCAACCACAGTTAGGTGAGTACACACACTCCTTGTGATGAATTATTAAGTAGACCTTCAATACATTTGTAGAAGGAGGGGACTGACCTTAACAAGGTTGGTGCCGTGGTCAGAGTCTAATGTGAAGTGTTCGTCGTCATCCATATGGATCTGAGCTTCATGGTCTGGCCTGAGAGTGTGGCCCAGCTCCCCGCCCAACCCGTCGAACTCCGTCACACACCCTAGGTGGCTCCCTGTGGGACGAACACGGTTGGCTGCCAGTGTGGGCGGGATATAGGTGGCTGTCAGTGTGGGCGGGATATAGGTGGCTGTCAGTGTGGGCGGGATATAGGCGACTGTCAGTGTGGGCGGGATATAGGTGGCTGTCAGTGTGGGCGGGATATAGGTGGCTGTCAGTGTGGGCGGCACACAAAGATGGGTGTCTGTGCCAGGATACAGAGAGAGAGAGAGAGAGAGAGAGATCATACATACCCAGGATGACTCGAGTATGGAACACATTCGTACAGCATAATGATATCAACGAGATAAAGTCAGTTGATCAAATGAAAATGCTGGCCCACAGATGGCTCCAACTTCATCCTGTCCCGTACTTGTATGTCTCATAACAATAAAATGCTTTCAAATGAGCTGATGTAGGTAACAGCTCTTAGCTTGCCAATAAAGTTAGGAATCCTTAACCTGTAATATAGCTGTCAATAAAGCTAGGGATCCTTAACCTTGTCAAACCCTGTGTAAAAAAAAAAAAAAAAAAAAAAAAAAAAGAGAGAGAGAGAGAGAATGTACATGTGAACGACATCAAACAAGACTTCAGTGTTGACATAGAGCTCACGTGTGCGTGAGGTTACGGTAACTCACTTCACACCTGGTTGACTCACAACACTTCTTGCACACTTATTCTTCAGCCTCACCAGTTACTGCTCCACACATTGTAATCTCACCTTCCTGAAATAATTATAATGATAATAAAGTATGTATACCCACAAAACTTGCAGCCCTGTCTTCCTGAGAGAAGAATTCTGCATTGTCACTGAAATTTTCCTCATACAACAATTCCCTCCACACTACATGCTTCTTCAAACGTCATTCCAGACTGCAGTTAACGGGCTCAGAGAATACTCACAGTATCTAAAAAGGACAGTGACACTGACAGAATTTCTATATAGAAGCTTAGGGATGGCTATCTGGATGGAATGGAACCCTAGGGGACTTGACTGAGGCTGCATTATTATTATTATTATTGACGGGGGCTTTGGGAGGATGATGGAAAGCACCTCCCTCCCTTCCCATCCTTGGCATCGCCAATGGATAGATAAAGCAGGCAACATAGCAACAAAAGCAATGAAAAAGAATGGCACTGATTTAACAAGACCAAGATACAATACACACAACGATATCGGTTCCAGAGTCTACTCCACTCCATGTGCTGGATGCAAAAAACATTACACATGAGAAACTTCATGCATCATCAACACCAAGATGTTAGAACAGTAATATGTCTGCTGGATTCATAACACCAGCAATGTATATGTCAGCCACTGAGCAAAGCATTCACGCCTTGTTTCACAGAAAGATGCAAACCTTATCATCAAATAGGCTAACAGAACATGAAGATAATTGGAAGCAGCACTCTTTAGTACAATGAGAACCATAAACAAAATCAAGATATCTGTAATACTGCTAAACCATTAATGCAACTCATCCGACATGGATATTTACCGGCTTGTGACCAAGGGACATCCCAACTCACCCTTCAGCGCTAAGATCCTCACTATCGGCCAACGGTCGTCCACACAACATGTGTAGCCCATTCCTCACATCTAAGCTAGAGAGCTCACCCAAAATATATGATCCACCTGACTTCTACCTGATCCAGTTTCAATGTTTACTATGTATACCTCTGAATGACTAGACAAAGTCTTTGTTAGACAGTAAAGTTGTCCCAATAAAGACTTGTTTTGCCAAATATGTCTTTATTCCTGTGTCTTTATTCCTGTAGGCAGAGCGCCTTTTAAAAGAAATTCGGAGGAAAGTGCACGCCTTAATTATATAACAGGTTACTGGCAAAGACCCATATTGGGAGACATTTTCTTGTATCCTGACGAAAAAAGAAATCTCTTCACTATGTGGTACCAGTCATAAGAACCTGTCCTCTCTCCAGGTAAACTCCAGGTAAACTCTATGTGGTATCGGTCACCTGATGAACCTCTCCACCATGTAGCACCAGTCACTGGATGAGTCTGTTCAACATGTAGCACCAGTCACTTGATGAAGCAAAGATCAACTTTGTGGTTGCAATGAACATTGCTGGAGCCGTTGACAGAGTAACTGAACCGTGGCCTCCTGCCAAAGCTATAAGCACTAGGAATCTCGAACTCCATTCATCACCCCCTTAGTGACTACAGTCAGTGTTGATCTCTTAAGAAGTTCTTAATGGAGCAGTTTGACAGTCTCACAGTACCACAGGGAGTGTGCGTGGTCCCTTGTTTACCACAGGGAGTGTGCGTGGTCCCTTGTTATGTTACCACAGGGAGTGTGCGTGGTCCCTTGTTATGTTACCACAGGGAGTGTGCTTGGTCCCTTGTTTACCACAGGGAGTGTGCGTGGTCCCTTGTTATGTTACCACAGGGAGTGTGCTTGGTCCCTTGTTTACCACAGGGAGTGTGCGTGGTCCCTTGTTATGTTACCACAGGGAGTGTGCGTGGTCCCTTGTTATGTTACCACAGGGAGTGTGCGTGGTCCCTTGTTATGTCACCACAGGGAGTGTGCTTGGTCCCATGTTTACCACAGGGAGTGTGCGTGGTCCCTTGTTATGTTACCACAGGGAGTGTGCTTGGTCCCTTGTTTACCACAGGGAGTGTGCGTGGTCCCTTATGTTACCACAGGGAGTGTGCTTGGTCCCATGTTTACCACAGGGAGTGTGCGTGGTCCCTTGTTATGTTACCACAGGGAGTGTGCGTGGTCCCTTGTTATGTTACCACAGGGAGTGTGCTTGGTCCCTTGTTTACCACAGGGAGTGTGCGTGGTCCCTTGTTATGTTACCACAGGGAGTGTGCTTGGTCCCTTGTTTACCACAGGGAGTGTGCGTGGTCCCTTGTTATGTTACCACAGGGAGTGTGCGTGGTCCCTTGTTATGTTACCACAGGGAGTGTGCGTGGTCCCTTGTTATGTAATATCTTCATTAATCTACTAAGTTTTATTTTTGCATTCCATGCCCTCACAGATGACTGTCGGCTAAACTAACCTAGCCTAACCTCTACCTTTGTGAAAATGAAGATACCCATTAGGCCACTATTTTTAAGACCAGTAGTCGCTATCTCGAGGCTATACCAACTAAAAGCAAGCAACGACGGGTTAAAATAACAACCATAATAATACCAGTGATGATCGCTATAAAGCATTATATAACTACTGGGACTAGTGTGAGGGTAAACAGAAGAGACATGGTATTCAACAATGAAGTGGATATTATGTGACTGAACCCTGCCATAAGAGGCATGTTCTACACCTTGCAAGCAAGACAGACACTTGTTATAATTAACAGCAATCACTGCAAACCTTCCTACGAGATACACGTTCCTCACACTTTAAATGTTGACCACTCTTGTACATCCTACATTCTTATCCTATCTCCGACTTTTTGACGAGGCAGAAGAATGACCATTTTGTCCTCTACTCTTTGGCGAGGTAGAGAGAGAGAGAGAGAGAGAGAGAGAGAGAGAGAGAGAGAGAGAGAGAGAGAGAGAGAGAGAGAGAGAGAGAGAGGAGAGAGGAGAGAGAGAGAGAGGAGAGAGAAAGAGAGAAAGAGAGAGAGAGAGAGAGAGAGAGAGGAGAGAGAGAGAGAGAGAGGAGAGGAGAGAGAGAGAGAGAGGAGAGAGAGAGAGAGAGAGAGAGAGAAAAGAGAAAGAGAAAGAGAGAGAGAGAGAGAGAGAGGAGAGAGAGAGAGATGAGAGAGAGAGAGAGAGAGAGGAAGAGTGAGAGAGAGAGAGAGAGAGGAGAGATGTGCAGACCAGCTAGCAGCACCTCTAACTCGCATCTTTCAGCACTGCCTAGTACAGTGTAAATGGCCCTCTCTATGGAAAGAGGCAAATGTAGTCCCTGTTCACAAAAAGAAGAGCAGAGCAGAAATCAGCAACTACAGACCAGTGTCACTCTTGTCAATCACTGGTAAGATCCTTGAGACAATAATCTCAAGACAAATGACAGAGTTTTTTGACTACCACTCACTACTTTGTGATCGTCAATATGGCTTCAGGAAAAGGTTACTCTGCTGCTGATCTGTTGTTAAACCTCTCCACTAAGTGGCACCAGTCACTGGATGAATCCAAAGTTAGCTGTGTGGTAGCACTGGACATTGCTGGCGCTTTCGACCGGGTGTGGCACCAGGGCCTCTTAGCAAAACTTCAAGCACTGGGAATTGCAGGCTCTACGCTATGTCTCCTCAGTGATTACATTCATGGTAGATCTCTAAGTGTAGTCCTCAATGGAACGGAATCCGCAAGGCATCCTATTGGGGCAAGCGTTCCACAAGGAAGCGTGCTGGGTCCATTGTTATGGAATGTCTACTTCAACGACCTTCTTCATCTCATCCCAGAATCACATGCATATGCAGACGACTGTACACTGACATTCACTTATCCAAGAGAAGAAATGCCAGCTGCTCTAAGCTACATCAATCACCAGCTGAGAGCTATATCAGCTTGGGGAAATAGATGGCAAGTAACATTTGCACCTGAGAAAACGCAAATGATGATCGTCTCTAGGCACCATGATGGTAATGCTGGGGCAGTAGTAAGGATGAATGGGAGGATGTTGGCACCTGGAGAAGAAGTTGATATCCTTGGGGTGAAATTTGACTCCAAACTAACCATGAAGAACCATGTTGTAAATCTTGCAAACAAGGCAGCCAGGAAGCTTACAGCACTTCGCCGTATCTCGCATCTGCTTGACAGTAGGGGTTGCAAGATTCTGTACGAGGCACAAGTACACTCACACCTTGAGTATGCTCCACTTTCTTGGTTTGCCTGCCCCCCCCCTCTCATCTGCGACTGCTTGACAGAGTAGAGAACAGAGCAAGACGTCTCATCTCTCGCCTGGACCCATCCTGGATAGATCTGTCATTTCAGCAGAGCCTTCAACATAGGAGGGATGTGGGTGGCCTTACTGTTATGTACAAGGCCAATATTGTCAAAATACCACACTTGGATCCACTTCGAGGACAGCGTGAAACAAGCTTTTATGCCACAAGAGGGGCAGAAAGCAGCAACTTCACTCTGGCTGTACCCTTCTCCAGAACATCACTCCATCTGAGATCATACATACCCAGGATGACTCGAGTATGGAACACATTCGTACAGCATAATGATGTCAACGAGATAAAGTCAGTTGATCAAATGAAAATGCTGGCCCACAGATGGCTCCAATTTCATCCTGTTCCCTACTTGTATGTCTCATAACAATAAAAATGCTTTCAAATGAGCTGATGTAGGTAACAGCTCTTAGCTTGCCAATAAAGTTAGGAATCCTTAACCTGTAATATAGCTGTCAATAAAGCTAGGGATCCTTAACCTTGTCAAACCCTGTGTAAAAAAAAAAAAAAAAAAAAAAAAAAAAAAAAAAAAAAAAGAGAGAGAGAGAGAGAGAGAGAGAGAGAGAGAGAGAGAGAGAGAGAGAGAGAGAGAGAGAGAGAGAGAGAGAGAGAGAGAGAGAGAGAGAGAGAGAGAGAGCGACAATCTGGTAAATGACTGACGTGACAATAAAAAGAGCTGACACTCTGTAAGAGGATACATTTTACTACTTGTGGGCTGACACCTTGGTATCCTTCCCTCTAGTTCTGCCCTGCCCAACCCTTACTTTCCTACCCCACCCTTTCTTATGCTCTTCCCATCTATCCAGATCCCCCTCCTCCCCCAATGGAAATAAGTCACTCTGTCTGACTTTTTTGGGTTATCCTAGGTTCTCTACACACATGCTGCTATGTATGATAATTCTATGTAACTGTATTTGTGTATACCTGAATAAACTTACTTACTTACTTACCCTCCTCCCTCCTCCAGCCTCCTCGTAGTCGTTGCTCCTCATGCCTCCCCATCACCCCCCCTCCACCCCCTGGCTCAGTGATGGTGGTCCTTACGTCTCTCCCTATTTATGCCTCGTTAAGTTTTATTGTGATTGAATATTATCCCTAGTTATGACTCCTTCTAACTGGCTCTAGGACTGGTTCTCTCTCTCTCATGTTTGCTCTTAGATTTCCCTCCCCAGTTATTTCATTACCATTACTTTATGCATCTTTTTCTTGTCTTAGTTTATATTCTATTTTCCTTTCGCAATATTTATTATAAACTTTGTTTACTTTCTTCTGTCGTTATCAGTTGTCGTTGTTGTTGAACTAATAATTCCCTACAAAAAATTATATATAAAATTATAAAAACTTTCTTTAAACACACCCCGTATCCCACCGAGGTGGGGTGGCCCAAAAGGAAAAACAAAAGTTTCTCCTTTCATATTTAGTAATATATACAGGAGAAGGGGTTACTAGCCCCTTGCTCCTGGGATTTTAGTGCCTTTTACAACCGCATAGCTTTTGGGGGAAAATTTTGTTCCACTTCCCCCTTGAGATAAGGGAAATAAACAAACAAAAGGGTAGTAAGAAAAAAAGAAGAAAAACCCCGAGGGGTGTATCTATGCTTTTACATGATGTGTATGTGCCCAAGTGTAAGCAAAGAGCAAGACGTACCCGAAACCTTGCAGTTTTGAGACGAAAAAAACCCAGCAATCCCCCATGGTAAAACCAAATTTCAGGCTTACTTTTCACTCCTTGGGAGGACGGTGTACCTCCCTGGGCGGGTTGCTGTTTTAACCAACCTACTACCTAAAATATATATATATATATAATATATATATATATATTATATATATATTTAATATATATATATATACATAATGTTTGTGTGTGTGTGTGCGTGCAGGTTTTTCTAGGAGTGGGTGGGATTCAATACTGAAGTCTAAGGTGTGCTAACGCTATGCTTTACCCACACTTGACCGTGAAGGCTACAATAAGAGTGGCAACCTACTCAAGTCTGTAACAGCTGGGGTGCCAGCACACACTACCTGGGAGAGGTATGCCAGTCTTCCAGTGGCCTTCATGGTCACGTGGCTAAACCGTAAGATTAGCAAGCTAAACCTTTTGTTCGAGTCACATCCATTCCTTGAAAAAAGTTACAATCCTATATTTTTTGTTTGTCTGAAGTAAAATACATTCATTTGATTACCAATATGTAGTTACAGGAGCAGAGTTATGCTTGTCGTATACCGTGTTCTTTGTTTAATTTAGCATATAGCTTATAAGAAAAAAAAAAACACTGATTGTAGGCTTACTTGATCCTCACCTCACACACTTAGGGTCTGGGGTTGATCCCTGGTGCGGGTTAAACGCTGGGAATGATTTCTTGCACTTTCCCCTATTCACCTACCAATAAGTAGGTCCCCAGGTGTTATCCGACTACTGTGGGTCGCATCTTGCAATAAGATATATTAAAATGTACTGCTCCATAACCTGTGTCAGTATAGAATAAGAATAAGTACTAGTCTCCCCGAAATGCCTAGGCATGCCTTCCTTGTAATTATTATTTATTATCACACTGGCCGATTCCCACCAAGGCAGGGTGGCCCGAAAAAGAAAAACTTTCACCATCATTCACTCCATCACTGTCTTGCCAGAAGGGTGCTTTACACTACAGTTTTTAAACTGCAACATTAACACCCCTCCTTCAGAGTGTAGGCACTGTACTTCCCATCTCCAGGACTCGAGTCCGGCCTGCCGGTTTCCCTGAATCCCTTCATAAATGTTACTTTGCTCACACTCCAACAGCAGGTCAAGTATTAAAAACCATTTGTCTCCATTCACTCCTATCAAACATACTCACGCATGCCTGCTGGAAGTCCAAGCCCCTCGCACACAAAACCTCCTTTACCCCCTCCCTCCAACCTTTCCTAGGCCGACCCCTACCCCGCCTTCCTTCCACTACAGACTGATACACTCTTGAAGTCACTCTGTTTCGCTCCATTCTCTCTACATGTCCGAACCACCTCAACAACCTTTCCTCAGCCCTCTGGACAACAGTTTTGGTAATCCTGCACCTCCTCCTAACTTCCAAACTACGAATTCTCTGCACTATATTCACACCACACATTGCCCTCAGACATGACATCTCCACTGCCTCCAGCCTTCTCCTCGCTGCAACATTCATCACCCATGCTTCACACCCATATAAGAGCGTTGGTAAAACTATACTCTCATACATTCCCCTCTTTGCCTCCAAGGACAAAGTTCTTTGTCTCCACAGACTCCTAAGTGCACTGCTCACCCTTTTCCCCTCATCAATTCTATGATTCATCTCATCTTTCATAGACCCATCCGCTGACACGTCCACTCCCAAATATCTGAATACATTCACCTCCTCCATACTCTCTCCCTCCAATCTGATATCCAATCTTTCATCGCCTAATCTTTTTGTTATCCTCATTACCTTACTCTTTCCTGTATTCACTTTTAATTTTCTTCTTTTGCACACCCTACCAAATTCATCCACCAATCTCTGCAGCTTCTCTTCAGAATCTCCCAAGAGCACAGTGTCATCAGCAAAGAGCAACTGTGACAACTCCCACTTTATGTGTGATTCTTTATCTTTTAACTCCACGCCTCTTGCCAAGACCCTCGCATTTACTTCTCTTACAACCCCATCTATAAATATATTTAACAACCACGATGACATCACACATCCTTGTCTAAGGCCTACTTTTACTGGGAAATAATTTCCCCCTTTCCTACATACTCTAACTTGAGCCTCACTATCCTCGTAAAAACTCTTCACTGCTTTCAGTAACCTACCTCCTACACCATACACCTGCAACATCTGCTCTAGACGGAATTTAAGGCCACAGCATACAAATGTCAGGGGAAAATTACCTGACACGAGTCTTGATCATATTCATCGACAACACTTTGATACGTCATTATATATCGCAGCCAGCAGGATTCGAACCCACGTCCGTCAAATCTCCACAAGTACCGATGTAAAGTGCAGATGGGTTTGAATCTTGCTGGATGCAATATTTCTTTGCATATACATTTCCTTGCTTCTGCGCAGTTGTCGTGTGGGAGTTCCCCTTACACAACACAGTGCACTGAGACCAGAACCTACATGAGGAAAATGAAATAACTGGAGACCATGTTTGAGACTCATTGGTGCGCCCGGCGATAGGAAGAAACATGGACTCCAGTCTAGCAGGCTGTCGCACGTTATGAAGCATCTGTAGCTGAGTGGTTTAAGGCGTCAGACTGTCAGTTTATCTACAACGGTGGAGAACTGGCAGGTCCCGGTGTCTGCTTCGTTCTCGTCGTCTGGGTTCGTTTATACTGTTGACGAATTTTTATTATACTTTTGTGTCTGAGTACATAAAATTAGAGCTGTGACCGAGTAGTGGTTAGCTAGTAGGTGCCTGGGTGGTAGCTAGCTAGTAGGTGCCTGGGTGATGGCTAGCTAGTAAGTGCCTGGGTGGTGACTAGCTAGTAGGTGCCTGGGTGGTGGCTAGCTAGGAGGTGCCTGGGTGGTGACTAGCTAGTACGTGCCTGGGTGGTGGCTAGCTACTAGGTGCCTGGGTGGTGACTAGCCAGTAGGTGCCTATGAAGTGACTAGCTAGGAGGTGCCTGGGTGGTGGTTAGCTAGGAGGTGCCTGGGTGGTGGTTAGCTAGGAGGTGCCTGGGTGGTGGCTAGCTAGTAGGTGCCTGGGTGGTAGCTAGCTAGGAGGTGCCTGGGTGGTGGCTAGCTAGGAGGTGCCTGGGTGGTGGCTAGCTAGTAGCTGCCTGGGTGGTAGCTAGCTAGGAGGTGCCTGGGTGGTGGCTAGCTAGTAGGTGCCTGGGTGATGGCTAGCTAGTAAGTGCCTGGGTGGTGACTAGCTAGTAGGTGCCTGGGTGGTGGCTAGCTACGAGGTGCCTGGGTGGTGACTAGCTAGTAGGTGCCTGGGTGGTGGCTAGCTACGAGGTGTCTGGGTGGTGGCTAGCTAGGAGGTGCCTGGGTGGTGGCTAGCTAGGAGGTACCTGGGTGGTGGCTAGCTAGGAGGTGCCTGGGTGGTGGCTAGCTAGGAGGTGCCTGGGTGGTGGCTAGCTAGGAGGTGCCTGGGTGGTGGCTAGTTAGTAGGTGCCTGGGTGGTAGCTAGCTAGTAGGTGCCTGGGTGATGGCTAGCTAGTAAGTGCCTGGGTGACTAGCTAGTAGGTGCCTGGGTGGTGGCTAGCTACGAGGTGCCTGGGTGGTGACTAGCTAGTAGGTGCCTGGGTGGTGGCTAGCTACGAGGTGTCTGGGTGGTGGCTAGCTAGGGGGTGCCTGGGTGGTGGCTAGCTAGGAGGTACCTGGGTGGTGGCTAGCTAGGAGGTGCCTGGGTGGTGGCTAGCTAGGAGGTGCCTGGGTGGTGGCTAGCTAGTAGGTGCCTGGGTGGTAGCTAGTTAGTAGGTCCCTGGGTGATGGCTAGCTACGAGGTGCCTGGGTGATGACTAGCTAGTAGGTGCCTGGGTGGCGGCTAGCTATGAGGTGCCTGGGTGGTGACTAGCTAGGAGGTGCCTGGGTGGTGGCTAGCTAGTAGTTACTTGGATGGTGGCTAGCTAGTAGGTGCCTAGGTGGTGTCTAGCTAGTAGGTACCTAGGTGGTGGCTAGCTAGTAAGTGACTGGCAAATACACACAGACCAGCCACGAGATTAATCAGAAAATAACACTAAAACGTCATGATAAGGGTAGGCGAGGGTAAGTGGCTGTTGTAACCTGACTGACACTCACCTAATACCACCTTAGTATTATCTGTCTCAGAGAGAGAGAGAGAGAGAGAGAGAGAGAGAGAGAGAGAGAGAGAGAGAGAGAGAGAGAGAGAGAGAGAGAGAGAGAGAGAGAGAGAGAGAATGTAAGTGTCGTGGTTAGCGAGAGACACCTCTTCTACTGTCACCTCCCTCCTTTCCACCTGATCTCCGCTCTCTTTCTCTCAAACATACAACCAAGCAAGGAGGAACACTCTAATTGAACCTAAGACCATGCTTGTGTTATTAATGTACAGCTGTGGCAGGGGTAACAAGAGAGCACTCTGCAGCTGTGTGAGGGGTAGCAAGAGAGCACTCTACAACTGTGGCAGGAGTAGCAAAAGAGCACTCTGCAGTTGTGGCAGGGGTAGCAAGAGAGCAGTTTGCAGCTGTGACAGGGGTAGCAAGAGAGCACTCTGCAGCTGTGGGAGGGGTAGCAAGAGAGCGCTCTGCAGCTGTGGCAGGAGTAGCAAGAAAGCACTCTGCAACTGTGGCAGGGGTAGCAAATGAGCACTCTGCAGTTGTGGCAGGGGTAGCAAGAGAGCAGTTTGCAGCTGTGGCAGGGGTAGCAAGAAAGCACTCTGCAGCTGTGGGAGGGGTAGCAAGAAAGCACTCTTCAGCTGTGGGAGGGATAGCAAGAGAGCACTCTTCAGCTGTGGGAGGGGTAGCAAGAGAGCACTCTGCAGCTGTGGGAGGGGTAGCAAGAGAGCACTCTTCAGCTGTGGGAGGGGTAGACATAGAGAGCACTCTTCAGTGTGGAGGGTAGCAAGAAGCACTTTCAGCTGTGGGGGGGTTAACAAGAAGCACTCTTCAGCTTTGGGAGGGGTAGCAAGAGAGCCTCTTCAGCTGTGGGAGGGTACAAAAGCTTTAGTGTTACAGGTTTCCGCCATGTTTTTTGTGTAAAAAAAAAACTCTAAAAATTGTGGAGGGGGAAAGGGGGCGGGGGGCAGGGGGGACA